CAACCTTTCGCGGCAGAGCGTTTCGATTTTCTTATAGCCTTACAATTGGAACGTGCAGAGGTCGAGTTGCTGGGCGAGACGCACATAGTCGACTGCTCCGCGTACCCCTACGGGTCTATAACACAGTATCCGGTAGGTCTTTTTGGACATTTTGCGCACAGTGCTGATAATATCTAGTCCCTCGCCCTAATATTACCTACGATCTCTTGTGGCCTCTGTCAGTGAAGAAGAATGCGAATTTCGACACCCAAATAGAGGACTTGACGGATACTGAAAAGAAGGCTGCTCTGGAGAAATGTCTGTCGTTCTCACAGTGCGATGGTTTTCTGATAATTCACCATCCGCACCCAAAGAATCAAGACTGTAATTACCACCCCCGACCAAAAGGCATATTCGCAGCCGCCACTGCAGCCCACCCGTTCCATGTCCATCTACTGAGATATTGAAGCCCGGTGAGGCATCGGATGGTATATCCAAGGCAAAGAACACGCGTTTAAGATCCAGAGTGATGTCGTTATGTTGCTCTGCTTGAACTCTTCGATAGTCTTGCCCTTTGCCATAACTGAGTAAAGCTTCAGGGAGGCGTTCGCGAGTTTCCAATAAGACCGTTGACTACATGAACAACAAATCAGTAAACAAATTGTGATTTGTCGGGAGGAAAGAGACTGGCCTTGACCACTGTCATTCCACCCACAAAGCAATTGAGCGATATGAGACCCTGTAATGTCTCTCCGAGTCGGAATGTGGTTTTGGGCATCAAAAGTGCTGCTACAGGGACCCCTCCTCTATGTATATCGTATACGGCTATGAAATATCAACAGTGAACTTCTACTAGCTGACGGTTTGATACTGAGCTTACATTTCCTGACTTGTCGAGTGAGTATTTCCACTGCCATTCGAGAATCCCCCGTTGGTTCCGACTCTTCAACGGTGCTTTGGGTGCCATCGATGTTATTTATCGGCTTCTGGACCAGATCTTGTCCAAATCTGCGCAAAATCAAACCCGACTTATTCACATGT